GATCTCCATCACCCGAATATCGTTCGACTCCATGAAATGGTGGAGACCGATCGCCACATCGGTATTATTATGGAATATGCATCAGGTGGGGAGCTCTTTGACCACATTCTGAACAACCGTTACCTCAAGGACAATTCGGCCAGGCGCCTGTTCGCCCAGCTCGTATCAGGCGTGGGGTATCTTCATAAAAAAGGCATTGTTCATCGAGATCTCAAACTGGAAAACCTACTCCTGGATCGCAACCGCAACATCATCATCACGGATTTCGGCTTCGCGAATACATTTGACCCAAGCGACGAGTTGGGCGAGGAGATCGAATACAATCTCACCAATAAGGAGTTTGTGAAGCGAATGCGCTTAGACAAGCCTAACGCCAAAGGCATGAGACGGGGCGATCTTATGCAGACCAGCTGCGGAAGCCCGTGTTATGCGGCGCCCGAATTGGTGGTGAGTGATTCACTGTACACAGGGCGCAAAGTGGACGTCTGGAGCTGCGGCGTAATCCTGGTAAGTTGGCACAGACTTTCTTTGGCCTCTGGATGACATGCTAACGCATTTGGTAGTATGCTATGTTGGCTGGCTATTTGCCTTTCGATGATGATCCAGCAAATCCAGATGGCGATAACATCAATCTGTTGTACAAGTATATTGTTAGTACACCGCTGACGTTCCCGGAATACGTGACACCACATGCTCGCGATCTTTTGAGACGAATACTGGTGCCCGACCCGCGCAAACGAGCAGACCTTTTCGAAGTGGCTCGTCACAGTTGGCTCAGCGAGTTTTCGCATGTTGTGTCTCACATTACGAGCAGTACAACCAAAGTTGCGGACATTGCCGACACGACAGTTCCTCCTGGTCAGTTTCCAAACACGCACTCTCGGAGCCTGACGCTAACTTATCTTCGTGTTTTGCAGAAAGTCATAGGGAAGCCCCAGCGCTGGCTCGCAGTGCCTCCGTCAGAGAGCCTCCGAAAGCATACCAGAGCTCGATACCTACGGTTGGAGGGCTTGTGCATCAGTCCGGAGACATTTCCCAAGAGCCGTCCGTCGATCGGTCAAAGACTTCTCGGGACACAAAACGGCGAACGGTGCAGGTCGAATATGTCGCCCCCCAGTCTCAGACAGCAAGAGGAGAAAGTCCTTCCGCGCCAGAATCCCCGAATGCAAAGCCATCTGGAGTCGAAGCCGTTCTTCCAGCCGCAAGGCCCGGCAGTCGAGATGCGGCGGCGAACACACAAGCAGGCGCTCTACCCTCGGGTGTTCATATGGAGCAGCGCTCAACACGGGCTGGAGAACCCAAGGCACCCGCTGGCTCGGTGCCGCCTGCGCCAGGGCATTTGCCTCGGTCGACCTCGGACAGCACCGCCCTTACGGGAACGCACACGACAATGCCTCCGACGCAAGCCACGCGGCCTACGACGGGCGCCTCAATGGCCTCGTTCAATACTGGTCGCTTGCCCTCTCGTGGTTCATACGGACAGCCTGTGGCTCCTACTGTTGCGGCAACCAATGCACAGGGTCGCCTTGCCCAGCCAAAGAGCAAGCAATATGTGATCTCGGCGCCAATCCCTCAGGATTCCTCGCAACACGCTGCCATGTCCATCGGACGTCCAAGCACACAGGCCCTCCCGGCCAAATTCAACACCACCCCTCGGCAGGAACCGCCCAAGGGCCATAAGAGATCCAATACGGTCTCGGGCATTGGCGAAAAGCTCTTTGGGCGATCAGGATCCATTTTCGGCGGTCGTGGAACACAGACCGCTCCTCGTCAGAAGCCCAGCAAGCGGTATCCTCCAACAAGCATGAGGGATCCATTTGCCGGAGAGGAAATCCGAGCCTCTATGGATTCCCGACGGTCCATTCAATATGGGTCTAACCGGAAGATGAGCGAAACGGGCGGGGAGAGTAGACCACGCCGGTTTTCCCTGCTACCAGCATCTTTCTCCCTCAGGGGTTTGTCCTCAAGCCGATCGCAGACTCCCGAAGAAGAATCCCAAACGAGTCGCTCCACTGATCAGCGAGTCCAGCAACGTCCGTCGGCCGGAGTCATCCGCCCTCGAGCGCGCGCCACCAGCTACGGAACGCAAGATGCCATGGGTATGGTGTCTGATGGACCAGGGGAGGGGGTACTGGCCTCAGAGGAGCCGGTCAACTACCAAGCCCGTATTGATCAACAATTCGCGGAGTTGCACGGTTTGCAATCCGCGGCGTACCAACCTACCTCGTACAGCAGCACATCGGCCGAGCAAGTATACCATAATGACAACGATCATCAATACGGATATCAATACGCCAATCACTCGACGCCGAATTACTATGACGAGTCTAACAATGACCCTCGGCCGTCAATGCAGGCCGGCCGGCCGGGAAGAGGCCCCAACGTTCTGCAGAAGAACAATAGGAAGTTTGCCGACGCTTACGAGTACGAACGAGACCCCTCTCATCACTCCGGTAGCTCCGGTGCGGCCAGGAAAGTCATGGATTTTTTCCGTCGAAGGGCTAAATCCAGGGCCGGTGATGACCGTTGATTCAGGTCTTCTCTTCCGGTGAATCAGGTCCTTTCGGTTTTCTCGTCCGTTGACACGCGCGAACTGTACCACCATTCTTAAACCGAACCGTGGCAAGACCAAGCCGGTCCGGTGTAAATTTTAATTGCCCGCCTTTTTCCCTTTCTTCCTTGTTCATCTACCTTTCTTCTCGGGAATCAAGATTCTTCCAAAATATCCCCATGACTTTCTGTGCGGCGAGTCCGAAGGCGGATACGCGAGAAGCTGTATCACCCATCAGAACAGGATGGATGATACAAGCCGACACTCAGGCCAAGCTTTGAAACACACGAGAAGGAGGAATTGCGTCTACCAGGCTCTAAGAAGAAGTCCAACATCGCAAGAGAGCAGTATGGTCCTTTGGATACCCCTTTGATACCCAGCTTGTTGTCTGCTTCTGTTGCTTGCCGCATGGGTTTGTCCTCGCATTGTCTAGCGACCATTTGTTCCCGCATACATACATACATGGCCTTTATCTAGCATATGGCGCTTTTTCTCCCCCTTTTTATTTAGTTTCCCCTTTATTTCCTTTGTCAAGAATACATTTCCTTTTCCTGTGTCCAAATTTTTTGTTTCCTTCCCCCTGTTACTATAGCCTCTAAGTGTAAATTGATCCTGTGTCTGATCCTACTTTTCATCGCGAGGTTGGCCTTTCGCTTCGCTTCTTTAGTTTACTTTCCGGTGGTCATGATGCTCCTACACAGTCAGGGGATCTTCTTAGTGGTGTGGTTGGGATGAGTGTCCAGGATCATGTCAGAGTAATATAATATCATCAACCCTTCAGGTATATTGATTGCACCATACTCATCTGTCGTCAGTAGGGTTATTTGTCGACATTTGTACCATTAATTAGACGTGCACTGGTTGCCGTTGCATACGAATGGCCAGTACTAGATTCCTTTGATGTATGAAACACTTCTCCGTAGGGCTTATGATTGAGCCTGAACAAGAATATACCTTGACTCAGTGTAGCATTGATCCATTAGCTAGTGACAAATGGAATAATGTCATCATTGGTCAGCCACAGATGCAATGATAAGCCTTACAGAGTACCGATAGCCATGACGAAATATCCCTGGATACACATTCTTCACACAGACTGCCCTCCCCCGTACTTCCGTCGTCCACCCTTCTGAGTAGATACTGTATACAGACCGAGCAGGAAAGGGGTCAGGCCAAGATGCAAGCCAAGAGGATCGCCGCTAGTTTGCACGCTGTGTGCACCGAACTCGAGCGCTCCTTATCAGTAAAGTGTACTCTACTCTTCCTATCCTATCCAGGGGGGCTATCGGGCTATCTCATTGGAATGCAAATGTTATTGCGGAGAAAGAGGGGATCTGTTCTATTGTAAGACTCCTGGAGCGGATATCTGCGTCTCTCGATCAATGATGGACGAATGTTCTCGAATCTAAGAGTAATTAGGTAGTGCTTATCCAATTGTCCAGATTCAGGTTCAGGTAGGTGGTGCGAGGACCGAATCATCCGAGGACGAGGACCTTGGCAGGAATGAATGCCAATGTTTTTTTTTTTTTTCCTCTTTATCTCTCTATCTATCTAATCCCTTGGACTGGATGCTTGTGACTGTGACCGTGGTCATTATGATCCTGATTGTAGTACAGCATTGCTGATACTGACTCTCCGCTCCGTTCACCGGGGAAAAGGAATGTACGGAGGAGAGGCGAGAGGAGGTGGGGGAATTATCCCGTGGTGGAGTCTAGATCTTCCCCCCTTCCCTCTTCTAGAAAGAAGCTTAGATCAGATTCGAATGACCGGTGAAAGGAAGGGTACAGGCTAGACTACAGGTTGCTGCTGCATGCCGCATCCCACTTTTTAGATCCGATCAGAACCGGTGGGCTGGCTTGGTCATTATTAGTATTTTTCGTTTACTCGCTATCAGTCTTGTAACTCTGCTTTTTTCAGAGAGTAGGTGGACATTCTTACCACTACAGAGGGAGGACTACTTTGTACGGAGTACTCCGTACTGTCAACAAACAAGGGATGAGTGCTTCTTGGCAGTTATCCAGATGGTTTGCCATTGCTTGGCTGTGAGACATGGAAGATCGATTCTTCCCAATTGGGCCATTATCAGATTGCACACAAGGCTTGGCGGTTGGTCATCGACTTCCCCCCTTCCTTCAAAAAAGCGATAATGAAGAGCAGATACACAATGATGATGCGATGGAATGTGTAATGACTTGCCTCTGCAAAGCATGATGCAAACTGGAAAGAAGTGGAAAAATGCAAAATTGCGTCCGGAAAGAACCTGGAACAAGACCCCCGTGGACCCTTCACTGGGCCGTATTTGTCCATCACAAAGCGCTAAAATTAAGACCAAGGAACGCCATTGAGTGTCTCAGAGTTGATCAGCTGACCGTGCTGATGAATTGGTATCGTGTCCAGCGCGATTGAACCATAGTGTTGTCAGAGTGGTAGGGTTGTTTAAGTGAATTCATCAAACGTTTACTGGCTTAGGTCTGGTACCGTGGCCTAGGTAGAGAAAGCCACCAGCGAAGGGAGAAAATGTAACTTCAATCTGCGACTCGTCGGTGCTGACGCTGTCTGAACGGTGCCGAATATCAGGAGAGGCGGGAGATGATGCGCCAAGCTCATACTCAGGACCAGATTCGGTGGGTGTGAGGACAAGGAATTTGCTGGTCTGCTCAGGACGAGACTGGACAGGAGAGAGGACGAGGAACTTGCTGGTGGGAGTGTAGGTATACATTGTGTTTAGGACAGATGACAGCAGCGTGCTCACGACAAGTGGCTAAGATGGAGATGAGGATGGAGATTATATAGGTTCGACCGGTCAAGCAGACTTGCAAGAAACCCAGAGAAAGAGATGGGACGATGTCTAAGGAATGATCAAGAAGACAAACCGGAACGAGATTCGGCGACCCTTTATATACATGTGAAGATACCAGCCAAGACTGAATTCACGAAGGAGGGGCTACTGTCGGGGGATCATATTCAGTCCACCGAAAGACGCCGATCCAGTGAGTTATCGCGTCTCGCTTGCAGGACAACTAAGCAGAGGAGCCGGGATCAAACCGTCAAACATCTTCATTTGCAATTTTCTTGTCGGAAAGTGGATCAGGCATGCTGCACAAGGTCCTTCACATGATTAGAGCGATATGGATAGTGCCAGATATGGAGGGGCCAAGACGTCATTATTAGAAGAAGGAATATCATCCCTTCCCCTTTGCGTCTCTTGGCCTAGATACCAACTATCCGAGGGAGCTGGACGTATCCCTATTGCCGGACCCAGTATGATCATTGCGTGTACCGTCCTACTCTGCCAAGCCTTTGCTGGATATTTCTTTGCGCAATGCACCGCTATTATGGTCAAATAATGTCGTTGTGCAGGTATCCATAGTTTTGGTGTTGTCCCTCACACAAGCATCAGACTGGGGCCGACAACAACCGCTCAGCCTCGGGTGATCAGCGACCAGGAAGTTAAAGCCAAGACACGAGCTCCAACTATCGATTAGACTATCAATGACGAATTGGCGGTTAGCCCTCAGCGGCAGCAACCACAGTAGATTCTCGAAAAAAATGAAGAAAAGAAGGAAAGGGAATCATGTATGGGGTTTAGTGTTTCCAATTCCTCGAAGCCTTTCTAAGACGATTCACGCAAATGACAGGGACAACCATTCTGGTGGTCCTCTTGGCAGTTTGTGAAGCTTGTCGCTGACCACGAAGAACATTCTCAAGAGGCCTCCAGGATCTGCCGGAGAACTGCGGAAAAGGGTTTAGCAGGCGTAAGTTTATCCCCACAAAGAAGACGTAAGGATTGAAGCTCAGGTCGCCCATGTGTATGTCTCCAGGTGAGTCCAGAGAAGATGCACCGCTGTTGAGCCATACGACCGAGGCCTGTCATAGACCTGTGCCATTGAATGAGACAAGTCTTCTGATAAAGTGTCCACTGTTAATGAGCACAGCATTCAGATGGTCCAGTGATGATGTAGGATGTGAACATATAAGTTGGAGAAGACGATGCAAAAGGCGCAGGAAGGATTAGGTCACGTGCTCAGCACCCAGGGAGCATCACGCAGGAAACAAACATCAAGAAATGATAATCTGCAACCAGGAATAGCAACCTCAGCCAGGCTCTGGTTGATTCTTCCCCTAGTGATTCCGCCTGGTCGCACAAACCAAGAAGGAAAAAAAGCCTTGGCTATATTATCTACCTGCTCATTCAAACCAAAACAGCCAACGGCGGCTAATCTACGGCCATTTGCCCCTGGTTCGACCTGTGGATAGTCGCTGACTTGGCGCCCCCAAGCCTCTTTCCGCCGCCGTTACGAAATTGCAATAACTCTCTTTATGTTTGTGGCGCGGGTGCTCAGCGGCTCAACGAGGGCTTCAGGTCGGCTTTTCCCCATAGACTATCCTTCATCAACTTTTGTTGAGAGCGCCCCCAATGCTGTGCCATCTTCAGGTCCAAACTCGTCACCTTTCGGTGAGTCCGTACGTGCTCGCGATTCGAGCCGAAATGGGCGAGTTTATAGGCTGGTGTTGTTTTGCGCCGCCGGATATGTCTTCTCGAAGGATACGTTTCGCGATGTTTAGCCGGTGACTCACAAATTCTGTTGCAGTCATGTTACAAACAGCCGACACTGAAGGACAAATGGCATCACAATTCCGAACGGGGCAAACCCTGGATAACCTACTTCAATTGAAGCGGATCTAAACCAACGGTTTTTGATAGAGCCCTGCAGACATCACCAACTGCGCCTCTGGAGGTGATACTGAGATTGGTCAGATGAACGACGAGAAGCCTCGATTCTTGTGATGACAATACTTTTCTTGCAGATTCATTACTCTAGCCCCACCTTGTGCTTGATTTGGTCGCTTTGTTTCCATTCACCACAGAGAACCTTCATCTGTTGATGTTGATGTGGGACGGCGAGTGTGCCTACGGAGATGCGGCACCTCTGACTGGGGCAGGTGGCTCATCCTTCTGGATATCAACTCAGCCTTGATGTGAGATGTTTCACGCCAGTGGTAAAAGTCACGATCCAACAAGTCCGGCACAGATCTCATCAACACTGATTGCGGTATGCCCTCCTCCGTCGGACCTGTCTGATGATGACCTTTCCGCCCACCCTCCCTCCTTATCAGTGGGATGGAAGACACATGACAGGAAATGAATTCCACAGAGTGTCCATCGATAGATGAAGAGTCACAATCTGTCGGTTGCGTGACAATTGTCAGATGCTCAGTCGAAGCAGTATGCCTGACTGCGGCTATGACAGACAAAGAGTCAACCTGTTGGCTAGCTACCGCAACTGATTTGATAGAACGGCTACTGTTGGTTCCTCTGTCTCGCAGATGTGACCGGCCACCCCCTGGCGGAAAATGCCACAGTGTCTTTAGTATGATGTCAACCCCTGTCTCCCAATGCAGATGCGGAACTCTAAATTTACAGAGTTCGAGACCAAGGTATGTGATCGACTCCTGCCAGAGCATTTCGATAGCCACAATCTCCCTATGTGCTTTGACTGGCAAGCGAAACTCTCAACTAGGCTGCCATCGTCGGCCGCCACCCTCTTTGATGATCCGCATAACCGCCAGTCTTGCTTGGTGTTGGGGAAACCTACTGCAGTAGTTCTCGGAAACAAGTAAGCGTCTGATTTGCTATGTGTTATGGAAAATGTTGGGTTGAATTCATGCAAACATGATGTAGATCGAATCACCAACTTTCACACTTAATATGTCAAGGGGCCGAAAAGAGCAAGGCGAGAGCTGCATGCGTAGTTTACTGCTCCTTGACCAGCTTTATCCCTACATCATGTTATTTATTTTTTTATTTTTTTTTTTTCTATCCCCATAGTATCCTTGTCGTTCTCTCTCACTTTTAGTCTTTCTCTTCGGGCATGCATTCCTTTACCAATTTGAGTAGATAGTGTTGTTGCGGCACAGTTTGGCCGCAGTCATTCAGACTGTCCTCTCTATCATCTTCGACTGATTCCAAAAGCTGCCGCAATCTCAATCTTATTTAAAGGGTCATAAAGACCCCTCGAATACCTCAACCCATCATCTCAACAATCACAAATCCAGTGCTCTCAGAATCTCAGAGAACAAAACAAAGCAGCTCTTCTGGAACTTGAACTACTTCTCCGTGTGCGGAATTACCCTCAAGTGAAACGACCGATCTCCCGCGAACAACAACTCAATATCAACACTCTCTGTAACCGGTCTACCTCGAAGGCTATTTCTTCAAGATGTGCTCGCAATACTTCTACAAGTACGACTGCGGCTGCACCGTCCCGGAAGGCGATGTCGTCTATTGCGCCAAGCGAGGCACCTCTTGCACCGGCGTCAGACAGCAGATCCGACGACGAGAGGGATACAACTGCCCTGCGCATGGAGGATAGCGTTCCAAGAAGTCAGTTGGACACCCTTCTTTCAAGGTGCAGGGATGAGCTGGGCTGACAGAGTGACAGACTTGAGCTCCTGCGCAATGATTTGAGAGCTTGAGGGACCTAATCTATGATTTCTCCATTGTGCATTGCTGCTTGTTTCAATGCAAGCAGGAAGGGGGCAGTGTCTGGGCGAGGAGCATGAAGGCATCTTTGTTTGATGGAAGAGGAGGAAAACTATGGGAAAGGATTTATGTGGTACTTTCTTTCATGCCCCATGCGTACATACATGTTTCAACTACACTCTTGTATCTCTGTTTGCTTTCCAGCTGCTATTGTTTTGATTGCATTTGTTACACACCTCCGGGTGATGAAGGTCCTTCTGCTCCTCGTTCCAGGTCCCTTTGCCTGTTGACCAATTACCCATCTGCACCTATCTGCATTGCTTGCCTTTTGTTTCTACTTGGATAGTCAAATGCCACGCTCCTTCTATTGCTTCTTCAAGCTTGTCCCTCGCAACAAAGAGAGTCCTAGCTCTCTGCAGTGCAATGCAGGTCACAGAGAAAGCCATGTGGTATGCTGATCTTCAGCCATTGAATGGCACCACAATGAAAAGAAGGCTACAGCCTGATGCAAACTAGTAGATTGTCCAGAGTGCATAGTGCTAGGAGGCCTGTGGTTTGAGAGAAGGGCATTGGGAACACTTAGGAGCCGCTCGATACATGTCTGGAGTTTCGGAACTTCGGAGTTCAAGAGATAAACAAGCGTAGACTATGACAAGCAGCAAGCTAGCAATTTCAGAGAGACTGTCTACCGCAATCGAGGTCAGTTTCTGCTCTCAGACACCTAGACGACCCCACTGGTGCAATATCGATTCCAGAAGACCCTGGTCTTCATGACTGGTAGATAATGCGCATCACAGGTTACATGGTTGCATTAGCACCGCAGACGACTTCAATCATCTGATGTCAAGCAACCAATCAGCGGCTGAAATCGCGTACACACGACTGGAGTTATCAGGTGTCGGTCTAAGCCAAAGTGGAACCAACACTGACGCAAGCACTTCACTGGGGGAACCAAAAGAAGCTGTTTCGGGAAGCGAAATAGTAGCGCCTACCTCGGACGCAAGTCTTGGTGGGCTAAGTGAAGAGGGGAAATGGTGAGTAGATGGGTTGCCGTCAGGATCATAGCATAAGAGCAGGATTCTCGTAATCATGAAACAAACATGCAGAGCGGTAGAGGAACGAATCTCAGAATCGTAGACCAACTTGACAAGGCGTGGGGGGAGGGGCGATTTGCGTCTCTCCGTCAAAGAAAACGATCGATTTGTGGCGTAATTTCTTTGCGCCAAGCTGGCTGTTGATTGCCTTGAGAGAAAACAAGATGCGGAGTTTCCGGTTCAACCTGCCACCAGCTTGCCGCAGTAAAGGGGCCTAGATTATCAAGCAGGCTATGGCTGTAGCGTTTTGAGTCAGAAACACAACAGGCATCGAGGCAATCGATCCAGATGGCGAAATTTCTCATACTCTTCCTGGAAGACAAAGAATTAGTAGACCAATGGCTGTCTTCAGTGCCCCTGCACTGTTGGTGCCTGACAGTGGGTTGAAGCCAAAATGATCAACACCTCATGGCCCGGTTGCACAGCAGGTCTCATGGCAGCCATGAACCTTGATAGTCCTTTCAACTTTTTCCGGACCACGAGTTGATGAGCCATCTTTACCGCCAGGAGTCTTTTCTTTCTTTCATCAAGCAAGATTATGCCAGCTTTCTGCCAGTTTCTTCTCGTATCCACGAGAACAAGTCGGGAAGAAAGTGGGTGAACCAGACTGCTGGGACAGCAACGTTTAGCGGTGTGACGGCCGTCTGCAGTGAGAGTGCCCGGCCAGAGTGATCAACCAGCTCAAAACATGGCCAACAAAGAAAGTTAACTTGGTTTTAACCATTTGTGCAACTGATATACAGCCAGGAACAGCAGTTGCCTGAAGATCCTGAGTCTGGTGGTTGTTTGACGATGTTGGGTGTTGTTGTCATCACGTGACTTTACCGGCAGACAGCCGAGGAATCTCCGTTATGGCGTCAGACATTATTCTTGAGCTCAACTTGACTTTCGCCAGCGTCACAAGTCAAATTTGGAAATTGCTTCTTCACATCGAGACCAACATATAGCTGCGCAGGTCGTCCTTGTTCGCACATGTAATGTCCATAGACGTCAACTGGAGGTCCGCCACCTCCGGTCCAGACGGGGAAGCTCTTGCTGAGCGTATCCGATCCTTCGTCCACGATAGATTCCAGCAGGTCGCTCTGCCCCGGTTCATCCGTTCTGTCCAAGTCCACGCTTTCGATTTTGGGACCATTCCTCCGGAGCTCGAAATTAAAGATTTTTGTGAGCCCTTTGCCGACTTCTACGAGGAAGATGATGACGACCATACGTCCGATGCCTCCGAGGAGCTTGGCTCGGAGCACTCGAGTCAGTGGAACAGAACCCGTCCGGAGATCAATGAACCCTCCTATCGAGAAGATCCAGCCGTGAATCATTCCTTACGAGATCCTTTCCCTGACGGATTTCCTGCCTCCCCCTTGCGATCGCCCTTAGGCGAGCACCTCAATCACCATTTCCTCCCCCGAGCGGGTACTCCAGGTATTCCGGGCGGAACTTCGACATTAGGTTATCACCTGATGTCGCTCGGTGGGCTGTCCGGTACGCAAACACCCCTTGCTGCAGTGGCGGGGGGGAATCCATTTGCGAGCGGTTGGTCGGATTCCGGCATGGGGCCGGGGAACAGGGGTCGTGTGGAGAGACACGCCGGGATGCAGCACCAACGCGCCGAACCCGAGATCGACACCAGCAATTCGACATCCCGTCCGTCAACAGCAAATACCCTTCCCTCCCATCCCTCGGGCTCAACCAAGAACAGCGGCGAAGGCGCGACCGGGAGAAACGACCATTCATCACTCCATGCTGGGGAACACCTAGAGGACCCGGTTACGCCGGGGCATCTACCTCTACCCCCACGGATGCGCGAGCGCCGCCCGGAAGATTTCCAAGTTCTCTGCCATGTCAAGTACGCCGGCGACGTGCGCTTATCTTTGACGGCAGAGATCCTCCTAGACTACCCAATGCCCAGCTTCGTGGGTCTTCCACTAAAACTCAATGTCACCGGCATCACCTTTGACGGCGTAGCTGTCATCGCATATATCCGTAAACGAGTACATTTCTGCTTCTTATCTGCGGAAGACGCGGACGCCCTGATTGGTTCCGAGCAGCAGCAGCAACAGCAGCAGGAATCGGCAGGGGATGACCACCGTCCGCAGTCCCGACCTGACTCTTCCGCCTCGGCGTCCCAAAAGCGCCATGGAGGCTTGCTGCAGGAGATCAGGGTAGAAAGTGAGATCGGCCGCAAGGAAGACGGGAAGCAAGTATTGAAGAACGTGGGCAAGGTCGAACGCTTTGTCCTCGCGCAGGTGCGCAGAATCTTCGAGGAGGAGCTTGTTTATCCTAGCTTCTGGACTTTTCTTATCTAATGCCCAAGTAATGAATTATGACTGAAGGCTCAAATGAAGACTCTTTTTCTGTTCTTCAATCGTGTTGTGCTGCTATGAACGTCGAAAAGAGTAAATCTGCTGAGAGTTTGTGATACTCTTACCTCCCATCACAGTAGCTGGACCCGGATCTATCTGGCTCTCGCGGCAGTAGACTGTAGGTATCTTCGCAGTGCGGGTTGCAATCGACATCCCTTCAAATATACACAATTAGACTCGCTCAGCGGCCACCTTTAGATAACCTATGGTTCATGGCACGCTCATTATATCATGCTGCCGAGTCAGGTCATCATCCGAGAAGTGAAAAAGCTTCGCTATAACCGTCACACCGATACAGAATATGCCATCCGACCTCGATTTCCCCGCAAGTTTCAAGAAACACACCATCAATCAGTATAGATCACATTCAGCATGCTGAGCCGTCCTCTACCGGATGAGCACTTCCTCAAACAACATTGCCTACAACTTCACCCACCAGCCCTTCCATCACAAACCAGGCTCCTGAGGCCCGACCAAAGGAGCTTTCGCATCGCGAGGTACTTCTCCGAATCACAGATCCTTCTTGGAGCCGTCGTTGCTGGTGCCAGTGACCTTGTCGCCCAAGCTGTGGTATTCGCGGGTAAGTCCCTCACACTGCTTCTTCAGGGTCTCGATGTCAAGGTCCTTGGCCTCAATTTCCTTCCTAAGGCGTGCAATCTCTCCGATATCACCAGCCTGAGCGAGGCGGGCAGAGTCCTTGCCGCCCGCCTTCTTGTCGCCCTCAAGGTGCTTGACGCGGTCCTCAAGGCGAAGGACCTCAAGGATCATGGTATAGGTACGGTTGAGGATGAGAGACAGGAAGAGAGTGAAGCCGCAAAGGTACATGTTTCGCTGAGAATAGAACTTGCGAGCCTGGACTTCCATGCGATCTGTGCCAAGTGCGGCCGCTCTACTAATAACAAACGCATTTGCGCATACAGTCAGAAATGCCACAATGTCAAAAGCGGGGAACGTTGATCACGGTGTGCTTACCCCATGCCATTGCCGTCCTTGGTGAAGGAGGCAAGCTCCAATTGCACGCGATAGACACGGTTGACGCTGTCAATGAACAGAATCAATATGAATATGAATGTGATCTAGACATATATTAGTAAAGGGATACTTCCAAGGTCCTCAAATTCGAGAGGTTACCTTCAATCCATATTGTAATTTCGCTACTAAGGGACTTTCCGAAATGAATGTAAACAGCTTCCGCTTGATAGTGAAGGGAAGCGGGATGATCAGGCCCATGAAGACGGCCATCTCAAATACCAGGAGGCAGAAGACCTTGAGAGAGACCAGTCAGCACAGAACTCACTTCCTGTAAGGTCAATGTATTGGAAGCTGTAGCTGAGTGATGTCGCCGCAACCACCCTAACGGTTTAGGCTGCAATACACCCCCATAGCTCAGGTTGCGACAAAGATCAGAGCTTCAAAGATGAAAGTGCACATACCAAGCTGTAGTAAAGAGTCATTTTGGCTCGAGTATTGTAAGAACGATCTAGAAGACTTTGATAGTTGTCTGCACTTCCAAAGTTGAAACGGAGTCGTTCGGGAGAAAGGTTCAAGAGGATAAACAAAGCGTTAGAAAAGCTGGAAATGGTCTCAGGGCTGTATCAGCAACGAGTAAAAGGCAAGATTTATACCCAGCAAAACTTGAAGGTCAAATCTTGAAGCTTTTAAAAGCAGGGAATAGGAATGATGTTACGTATGCTAGTGCAAGAGGAGGCTGAGGTGGTCTTTTTGCAGCTTTTTGAGGCGTGACCGTGTGAGGAAGACGTCATCACCGCTCAGATCTGCTATTTGTCACGTGATGGTTATCCTTGGGCGGATATGTCGCTTATTGATCCTTGATGTCCTAGCTTGATGCATGATAAATATGTACTTTTTTCACATCATCCAAGTATGTACATTTATAGGTTATCTTCCATGAATTATGTCTAGTCTACTGTACTTTCGCGGCACCACCTGTCAACCCTGCGGCTCATAGGCGTTGGACTTGTGCTTCGGCTCGAACTTGAAATCTTTATGTGCTGGACCGAGGAACATTTCCCTAGAAATAGTCGATCAGTATTGTATTCAGAAGGAGTTCCTGGGCGCAGAGACAACTTACGTGATTTTGATCCAGTCTTTGTAATTGGGACTGCCCAGGAGGGTTTCCAATTCATTTCTGCCCCTCCAAGCAGGGGGTCTATCTTGAATGTGAGGGGGCAGATACTCGAGCAGTCCGATTGGTACATAGCGATAAGTGAAGCTCAGCCATTCCAGCATGAAACGTCTCGTCGTGCCAACCCCATGCTCATCCGATCCCCAGGTATCTAGGCCGTACTTGGCGTATTTCTCGACCATGGCCAATCTTTCTGTGGCTGATTTATCGAGGTACTGACCTGCCTGGATTTCCTCGAAGACCCATGGCTTGATAATTGCTCCTCGACCGACCATGACGGCATCCACGCCGGCATTGTTGATATGGTCGTCGTAGTCATGGTGGGAATAACAATCTCCATTTCCGAGGAAAAAGACCTTGCCGCCGTTTGGCAGCATACGTTCATCTGGTTCTCGAACAGTATCCGTGACAACATCTTTCTTCTCGTTCAGTCGTTTGATAAGTGCGGCGCACTCGGCGATGTAGCTCCAATCCGCCAATTTCGTATATCGCTGCTGTCTGCTACGTCCATGGAGGGTAATGGCTGCGACGCCAGGAGGGCCGATATTCAACATGCTAGATTCATGACCTCCGAGAACCAAACGTTCAATAAGTTTCGTGGCATTCGGAGAGTTGTCTCTTGTTCCTGTGCGAATCTTGACTGTGATCGGGATCGTCTCCGAGACGGCATTCATACCACGGAGCATCTTCTCCAGTTTCGAGGGATGCTCAAGGAGGGCGGAACCTGCTCCTTCGCGGAAAACTTGGTCAATAGGACAACCGCAGTTCAAGTCAATGACACGCAGGTTAGGGGTCAGGCGCCCCAAGAGCTCCGTGGCTTTGATCGCGTGCCAAGGCTTGTTGCCGGCAATTTGAGCACCGAATTTGAGATCCTTGGAGTTGTCATAGCCCTGCACGACATCGGCTGTCGATGAAATTGTGGGCGGAAGCGCTTCGGACTCGTGCGCTTTCATCAGCGCCCATTCTGATTTTTGACCCTGAATCAAAGACATGCCCATGGCCATTTCAGAATACGTAAATTGGCAGCCATAATCTATACATAGCCTCCGGAAGGGGAGATTTCCCTGCGTCGTTAAAGGCGCTAGGGCAGGAGTCTCTGGGCCAAAGTAGATGCGTCGCTTCTCTGAGGGCAAGAATGGCGGCTCCACATAGGCTGCTCGGTTCTCCTCAAGCTGGCCCTTGGTTTGAGCACCAGCTTCTTCATCCGCTCCACCCTCTTCCAAATGCCGACCATGAAGGTTTTTCTCCAGTGCCTTCGACGTCTTGTCGAGCCACGTTAAGTATGCGTCAGATCTGGGAGTCTTTGTCTTTCTCCGGGCTACCGCAATCTTATCCTCGTTTGAAACGATGTTCACAAGGCCGTCTTCTGACGCATACGGAACAACCGGTCGGGCTCTCTTCTTGCGCTCCTCATCCTCGAGTAGGATCAGCTCTTTTCTCCCATCAGAAGTATCTCGCTCAGTCATGTGGGAGCCCACAAGGCGACATTTAAACCCATACGGGCATCTGCCTTTGGCGTCCCATATCGGGCAGATGCCACCAAAAGTTGTAAGATCTTCCCGCTTATGCTCCTTCAGGTACGTCCGCAGATCGTGTTCAAAGCGACACTTCTCGCCGAACTTGCACTCCTTCGGCGAGAACTCCGGACTGAAAGCTCTTGACGGGCAAAGACCTTTCGCATCTTCGGATCTTCCGAAATCGCGCCCCTTGTTCTGACCGGAGGCCTTTTTCTTTCCTTTTTGTTCACCCTCTCGTTCCTGGTAGTGAGCGGCTTCAGCCGCATCATCGGCACTGAGACTGACCGCGCTCTCTTCAACGGGCTGGGGTCGCGCGGACTTTTGGACTAGGAACCTATTATAGTGACGATTAACGGTGTATCAACAGAAGGAAGACACGGTCATGCATACTCAGCCTTGATTGGGGCTACTCCCTTCGCACGCTTGGAAGCGCCGACGCTCACCTCCCGCTCGGAGATAGAGGCGCTTTCCAATCTTTGTTTCTTGGACGGATGCTCTTCATTGTTGGCAGCGACTGAAGCGCCGTTCTCGAGGTTGTGCTTGGGCGTGGCCGCCGTGGATTCTGTCTGGGTAGTAGGCTCCATCCTGGCACTAGAATTCCAAGGCCGCAGCCTTCACTTCTCGCTTCTGAATACTGGTCACACCAGAGGATGCTCAGAATCACAGATTGAGCTTATCGGGCCCAATTCAAGCCCTATACTGGAACGGCTTATTCGAATTGGTTGAATACAAAAAATTTCCAGTTAGAGATGGCGGAGATAGTAAAATTTGCATTGTTTGCATATGGAGGTGGCGTTCCAAAGGCGGTCAGTCTAAGCTTGGAAGGCGGTGCAGCCTGGCTGGCTGGCAATTTGAAATCTCCAGTTATTGTGAGGTAATGTCTAAGTTGCACGGAGTAATGTCGGGTTTCTTAGGGCGGTCAGCGAGTAGAAAATACACTACCAAAATGACTGCCATTGCCTTACGGGTTCAATACCTTTACCTTGGTTGTTTCTTTGCAACCAGTAAGCGATCTACGGTACTTACGTACCGGTCGAACGGGTCAGTGATTATTAAGGGATCCACAAAAGAGGCCATTCTCTTGGTTCGTAGGTTTCGAATGTTTCCAGAACAATTTACTGCCTAGGCTAGTACTGTAGTTAGCCGATGATAGTGTGCTCATTGTTTCCTTGAAATAGAGGTCAAGCGATGTCTCTGTGGAAGTCATATGATTTGAACATCTTAAGGAAAGGAAGAGTACAGAGTAGTCATACAATGTTGATAATTCCATCAAGCCACCTTGATATCAATCATGGGTCTGTGAACGAGTACTAGGTCGTGAAGCTGACGCATCATGGAGGAAACAATCACTTACCTTTCTACTTCAGAATAAGTGACTGGTTTTGGCAAAGCATAGCCATAAGATGGCCAAAAGATCCATAATACCTTGGATCAATACTCTAATAATAAGTATTGCTGAAACTGTCAGCCTTACCAATCACAAGCCAAAATTCTCATTCAGTTAGTATGCGGTTGACCCGAGGGAACCGTGGGTACTTTGTTATTACGCAGGTGCACCGATCCCATTATTTAGCCATTTCTGAAAAGCATACTGCGCAGTGCTCATCATAGGTGAATTTTAGTCCATGTTCAGAGATTAGCCGTTCAGAGTATTGCTCAGATACATGTTTTGGACTGAGGAACAACCATTTCACAATTTGATTGATATAATGCTATGCAGCAACAAAGTGATGGATGTTCAAGTACGATTGAGAGATCTTCACTTCGGAGATCTACCTGTCCGATATTTACTCCGCGCCCCCTGCATCAAGCATGTCCAAGTGTGCGCCATTACAGGCACAGTGGAATACATTATTGGTGTATACTCCAGTATGAAGCAGTATTGAGTTGTGAAGTCTCTAAAGATGCAGCTGATGTATCAGCTTTGCTGGCGAGGCAGTATATGAAGCATAGGCTCGATGAATACGGAGGGAGTACTGTGTCAATTTAAAGGGTTTGAGGAATCAGAATGTCAGAGAATCAGGTCTGAATAGGATAACACGTGGCTGGACAAGACAAAATCCTCCTGTCTCAGTGCAGGTATCCCTTGGGACCCTTGCATACTGTTGCAGTCCACAGTCGGTTAATCTTATCTATTATCTTGTATTCACTTGAAGTTCAGGTAGTAACTAGTAAGGCATGTGGGCATGGCGATCATCGCCTAGGCTGACTCCAATTATGAGACTCTCTCTGAGACTTAGCTCAATATTTGGACATTAAGAAATCTACAGTTACTTTGATCTCCAAGCCGGCCCTAATCCGACATGCCCTCATGGGGTTTTGACCCTGTGGATATGTACGTATCACCATGTCTTGGTCCAACCTTCACAGTTCTGTCTTGAGATGGTAGACAGTGCCTACCTTAGAACGTAGGTATCCTGTTTAGAGACGGAAGGTCTGTCGAGGGCCAAGGCGGACAGTAAGAAGCCACTAATTTCTTCTGCTGTGTTTCTAGCGTCGGCCAAGACAGACCTGCCTTAGCACCCAAAACCGTTTACGGACTACTGTACGAAGTAACTACCTTACTGTATGGCGTATGCAGGAGACTTCCCCGGAGAAGATTAGGGGCGGCTCACCCTTCAATGATTCATTTAGATACCACTCGTCCATTGAATGAATGCGACTAGTCTATCGATAGTCCTGAGATAGGACGGCTGATCTGGTTGTCAGCCACACAAGTACTGATCAACTATCTATTGGTTAGTTATCGAGTTCAGTCTTTGTGATGTACTGAAGACCGGGTCCAAAGGGGACGCTCATTCCGCTCTACAGCTTCTCCGAAATTTGTCCTGGCCATGCGAGAGGTATCGAGGTCATCGTCTGTCTCGGAGTAATTCATTCCAGACAATGATGTTGTTGATGATCCGTTGATGATCCGTTGATGTCATTAAAACCCTGCTAGAGCGGGGGACAAAGTTTCGACGAAGTCATCACTTAAGTCTCTGAGCACCTCTAGCGTCTATCAAGGTTTCGAACCATTCGCCTGAACTCAAGATGGCCAGAAGCACCTGGGCCCGTATACTCAATAGAACAAGACGATGCACGGAAGTAGGATAAAATGAGCCTTGGTCGAGCTCGAGTCTCAGAACTGGCAACAACACTTCCAATACTTGTCGTTCCTTATGAGCACAACTTGGCAACGTCAACCAGCATGCCCAATTACTCTCATGTACCTCGCACTTAGAGTAACCTTTTCCAAGGACAACGTCGACGGGAGCCCAGTGCTCTGTCTAGAAGGGTGGCACCTATCTCAGTCAGACTGTGTACTTGTACGTGGACCACGGAAAGCTCCGGCTCCCTCGTTGCGCCCTTATTTGGATGATTCAATATTCCAATACGTAGTGTTCCATAATCCAAATCTCCTCGATTCGTCTTAGTCTGAGCAGTGAAATTGAGATGCTTGCTACCTTTGCATATTGCTCTTGATGATCACTGCCTGTTAAGTGGTGCTAGAGTGATGTACGAGTGTCGCAAGCGCAACGTAGCTAGGGCAGTATTACGTTGTAGAGCGTGGAAGATCAAGTAACTTTTGGTTCTGGCTGTAAGATAGGCAGCTATACCAGTACATTACAGTACAGAGTCTAGGGTACCTCGGGTTTGGGCATCTCTCAACTTCCATCGCCCGTTGATATCGATTTCGTCTTAACGGTCCACTTGCTGGCAGGACGACGCTCCATCAATCAGACGTACAAAGCTGTAGTTCTGTGGATCTTTCGGTTACGTAGAAGAATACCCAGACTAGCTAGTACGATTTAAATGATTCGATGTTCATGCGCTTCCCCCGTGTCCCTGACGCCTTGGCTGCCCAGTGATGGCTGCTTTTGAGCTGAGATCCTACCACTCAGATCATGCCCTGCCCACCGTAGTTTCAGATTGGCTAGAGTATGAATCATTGGACCCGCGTAATTTACAGGACCTGCGCTTACGTTACGTACCAAACATGAGCAAATACCACGACGTTGCCCCCCATCCATACCGTACCGAGGATTAAATACACTATTAGTCCTCGAAACCCTTCCAGTTTGCCAGTTGTTACTCCCTGGCAAGCCATAGCTTTTGGAACGAAGGCCATCTTCGGAGTTCATTAGACCTCCTCGATCATCCTTACCATCATATTATCCTTCGTCTTTTTCCACTCAATCTAAATCCTTCTTCATAGCATTATTTGTCTGGCTTGTTTCCGAGGCGACATTCCACCTCCCGCCACTTTTCCCGAATCCGTCGCGGTTCCGCAGGCCCAGTAAGCCAGAGCGGGACGACATCCGAGGGTGGACTACCTGTGTGATCCCGCCCAAAATCGCCATCGAGAATCACTCCTTCATGCTCGGCTCATCAGAGGAAACTCTCAGTTCTCCTCCTTCTCTCCACTACTCTCCTTCTATCGCAGAATACGATCGCGCCTCTACTCGGGATACGACACCTGTCACTACCCCCCTCGGGTTTGGCGTATCGTCTCGCAAACCGGACAGGGAAAAGGACTCAGGTAGCCCGTGGGCTGGAAATTCACTGAACACCGACGACACTCGTTCACCTCACCGCGATCATCAGGATTTTCGAACACAGCTCAAAGAAGACTTTGAATTCCCCCTCTTTTCATCCTCCCCCCTCACATTCGGCAAGATGACAGGAACAGCTGCTCCCATCGATATCGCCACTCGCCAGACATCAGTTTCTCCTCCGGGACAGCAGGCGTCAAATCTTACGTCTGCCCTACAGAGAGCTGGAACTGGTGAGCGCACAGGGAGCATTTCTCATCCCAGTGGCATCGGCATCAATGTCTTCAAAGCCCCGCCTCCCCGCAAGGACTCTCTCAGCGCAGCCTCCGCACAATGGGGCAACGGAACGAAACCAATCTCCATGGCGGGGTCTAATCGCGATAAGCCTCGTCGGGAGTCGCTCGCTGGAAGCTTGGTTGGTGGTATGAGCTGGGGTGGTGTCTCGGTTGGAAGCTGGATACGTGACGAGTGAGTGACAGGCCTTTCGTGGAGTTCTGACGGAGTTCTTGCGATTTTGTCGCACCACTCGATTTCAGTGAGCAGCATACTGACATTCTCATTTCTTAGTATCATTATGACTGGAACCTCCCCGTTCGCTTTCGGACAATCTCCCTCTTTCCATTCCTCTTCCTATTTGCCCAAACTGGAAGCCAACTTCATGCGTGATTTCTCCTGCTGTGGCATCACTCTTCCCACTCTTCATGATCTGTTGCAGCACTATGAAGAGGCGCATGCTACGAAGTCACCTCAACAGAGTCATCGTCCAAGCCAGACTGATGGACGAGCTGCGCTTGCTGCTGCCGCGATGGCGCAGCAACAAAACCAACAAATGAACAACCAAAGTCGAGGTCTACAAGCGGACAGAGGTGGGGATATGCAGCGAAAATTGAGTCCGAACCCGCCGCTTCAGCCACACTCTGACCTCGACACTATCGACGATATGGAGCTGGATGACGCTATGGGGGACAGTGATCCGACTACCTCACAGTTATTCTCGCCCCAGGTGCAGAACAACACGCAAAGTGGATTTGGAAATTCTAATCAGAGAG